ATATTAAATGTATATTTGTATTTGCATAGAAATATATTTTTAAATTTATATATAAATATATAAATATATAAATTATTTCTTTGTATTTATATATTTTATATATTTATTTATAAAAATATATATTTTTTATATTTGCATAGAAATATATATTTATATATTATTTATTTATATCTTATTTATATCTTATATTTATTTATATAAGTATATTAAAGATAGATATATTTGTACTTTTATAATTATATATAACTATATATTAATATAGTTATTTATATTTATATTATGAATATATATATTTATATTATATTTATAATTATGAAATATATTCATAATTATATAAAAATATATGTTTATATATAAATATCAGAGTGCCCTGGGTTAAACCTAAGCGGTCAGCAGTGCAGTGAAACCCAATTCAGTCCTTGGTAAGGGCTAGCAAATATAATAATATTTTCTCTTTTTAGACATGTTTACATATCTTGTCCACTGACCTATAGTTCATGCCGGTGCAAAAGGTTCTTTCACTAAAATAGGTTACTGTGCTGTTTCCTCATTCCTCTAACTCTTCTCTATGGGAACTAACAAATCATTTTCTCTATAACATCTCTACCTGTCTGTGACAAACACGAGCTCAGGCACTCAGTTCATCCCTCTGCGTCTGTGCCTCCCCAGGGCTACCGCACGGGCTACACGTACCGCTACCCGTTCGTGCAGGAGAAGAGCAAGCCCAAGAGCGACGTGCTGATCCCCGCCACCGTCACGGCCTTCGTGTTCGAGGAGGAGCCGGCCGGGACCCCCGCCCTCCGCCAGCACGCCCACAAGCAGCAGAAGGAGAAGACGCGGTGGCTCAACACGCCCAACACCTACACGCGGGTCAGCCTGGCCGAGGAGCAGGGCAGCGCCGGCGCCCAGAGGACAAAGACCACGGTGAGGGGCACAGGGGGCCTGGGGATGGACGGGCAGCGAGGTGGAGGGGGTCCTGGGATGGACCCTGTGAACAACAAGGGGCGTAGGGAGGCCTGGGCACCACCTGCGTCCTGTAATAATGATTAGTTTGAAATATCGCCGCCCCATTCTTGTGGGGCCGAGTGCTATTGGCTTTATCAGGGTCTTCCCTCTGTGCAAGATGCATTTATTGTGGTCTCCTCATTTACTGAGGCCTTCCTTCTATGCAAGATACATTTATTGGGGTCTCCTCATTTATTGGGGTCCACCTCTATGCAAGATGCATTTATTGGGGTCTCCCTCTATTATTGGGGAACTTGTTTTGGAGTCTTCCTCCTTCTATGCATGATGCATGTAGTCAGGTCTTCCTTCTGTGCTGTTTATTGGGGTCTCCCTATATGGTGCTTCCCCTCTACACTGGGGTCTCCCCTCTATACCAGTTGCATTTGTTGGGGTGTCCCTTCCATCCTGAGGGTCTCCTTGTCCCCAAACCTCTCCCTGGGTTTGCAGTGGCTGCGGGCAGACGAGGTGGAGAAGGGCAGCAGCGGGACCCCGATCCGCATCGAGAACCCCAACCAGTTCGTGCCGCTCTACACGGACCCGCAGGAGGTGCTGGAGATGCGCAACAAGGTGGGCAGGGGGACAGCGGGGTCTCGGGGGGCTCAGCCCTGTCCTCAGAGGGGATTCAGCTCTGTCCCTCCCCACAGATCCGCGAGCAAAACCGCCAGGACGTGAAATCAGCCGGGCCCCAGTCGCAGCTGCTGGCCAGCGTCATTGCCGAGACCAGCCGCAGCCCCGTATGGCACCTGTGTCACCTTTTGCCACCTGTGTCACCCCGTGTCCCTGGCCCTATGTCATCCTGTGTCACCCCGTGTCCCCAGTCACAGCTGCTGGCCAGCGTCATTGCCAAGACCAGCCACAGCCCTGTATGGCACCTGTGTCACCTGGCATCCCCAGCCCCATGACACCCCATGTCCCCAGCCCCTGTCACCCTGTGTCACCCCATGTCCCCATCTCTCCGGGGGGAGGTGACACTGCCCCAGGGAGGTGACACCGCTCTGTGGCTCTGTTTCAGTCCACCGAGAGCCACCTGGGGGACGCAGAGGCCAAGGAGGGCGGGCAGGAGGCTCCCCCCGAGCCAGAGCCCCCCAACCCCTTCAGCCAGCTGACGGACCAGGAGCTGGAGGAGTACAAGCAGGAG